GCCTTACTAGTAGTAACAGGTGCCTTACTGGTAGTAACAAGAAGCTAGTAATTACAAGAAAAGAAAAGGTCTGAAGAAGACACCGTACAAAAGACGTTCGATGAGCAAATGGGACATCTTCTTTGGTGATTGGCTGCCATTGCAAGGCCTTTTGGGAACCCCTACCCCCGAACTCAGTGCCATTGGGTGCCACGGATTGAAGGGCCATCCACTGGGATCTGGTTCAAACGGCCCTAGTAGCGTCCTAGTAGCTTTCTAGTTGCTCCTAGTAGCGATGCCAGGAGCCCCTAGTAGCTTTCTTGCTCCTATCTTGTCCAAGCTGAGAACATCGTCACCACGCTGATCTCAGACAGAGCTGATCTCAAACAGAGTAGTATGGCCAGGAGCCGCTAGTAGCGTTCCTGCTTCTGGTTTGAAGGCAGAATGCTTTTCTAGTCTTCATACTATGGACAGTCCGCAAGTTGCAGTATAGTCTTCAAACTGCCACGTGCATCGACTCATGTCGGTGAATCGCGCCTTCTCGGCAATAACGATGAACTGTCACGACCTGAGGGAACTTCAGATGGAAAGGCCTCTCGCAGGGACCTGTGCTTAGAGGGCTGAAATCCGAATCTGTTGCTCCATTCGAAGAGCTTATTGAATATCATTGGCAAAGATTTGTGTCAAATTCTTCGCCTTTGCTTTGTTCGCTTTGCCTTTTTTCAGGTCTCTATTGCGCCCTCTTTCTACCAAGAGGCCGAGGGCGGGCGAGTTTCTGCACTCTCTAGTCCTGGATCCTCCAAAGGAGTCTGCAAAATCCGAACATTTGGTTCCGCTCCTGTTCCATCCTGACTGTCAGTGGAGGTTTATAGACAGTCGGCCGTTTGAGGCCTTGAATGAAGACAGCGACGATCAGGCCGAATCTGGGTTGAAAGCTTTTTAGTTCAATTTGGTGGCCCAGTAGCTTTGTCAGAATCCAAAGCAGATGGTGAACTGAAAGAACTGGATGTGGAGTACGTATTTTTTTGCCACGTCCGGACCTCTTCTCGCGGAGTCTTCGACCTGACCAGTAACTGGTGAAGTGGATCCTGGATGACCCGTTCTTCATCGCAGGGACTAGTCAAAAGTGAAGAGGGTAGTCAAACTTAGTTTGGGTTGACGACGGTTTTCAAGTTGTTACATCAGGCCATCGATCAGATCTTACTTCCAGTGTGGAGCAGAAAGAACGACGGTCAGGAAAGGTCAGGAGGTTTTTTGAGGGCCCTTTCAGGGGCACTTCATGTCGAAGTGCGTTTGACAAGCCAACTCCTCCGGTCGCTTATGGGTGGTGAAATGGTCAGAAGAGTTGCTGCAAGAAGGCAGGATCTGCGTGTTTTGAAAGGCAGAGAAGGCGGAGGAAAGTGTCATTGCCCCAGCTACTGTGGCAGGTATTGCACGGTTGTCTGTCGGATATCGTGTCTCTTTCCTTGGGTAGTTAGAAAGGAATCAACATGAATCAAAGTACTTGGTCAAGAACATACACCTGTTGAAACAAAGGATTTGGATGCTTGCTCAATGTTTACAGAAGTCACAAGTGTGTCTCTTTGCTGGCAGGGGCCACAGTTCTGCCAGTGTTCATTCTAAGGATGATGATGCTCCGTCTAGAAAGGCAGTGATTTTATTGCAGATGGATGCACTTGAAATCAGTGATTTGAGTGATATGAGTCAAACGAGGGAGCATAGGAAAGGTATAGGAGTTTTTTTGGCACAGGTTTCATTGGCCTGCTTCCTGTATCAATTCTCAAGCACTTTGAGCAAGAGTCTTCACACTCTGATACCTTGAGAGGCTTTGGATCCTGAAGATTATGAGACGCGCTCTGACATGGATGTGGCTCGTGATGCAGAGGCTTGCCTTTCTGTGAAAGAGTGAGTCGCTGATTGGTCTTGCTGTGGAAATCTGTGAACCGAGTTGTCACGCTTTGCGGCAGGCCGAAGAGACTGGGGAAGCAGACGTGGAGTCCTCAGTCAATCACAAGACGTGTGTTGTGTGCATTTCTGTGCATGATGCTGCTGCGACACATGCGTGATTATACATTTTACAAGGAGGTTCTTGTTAGCAGTAACGCCGCATTCATGCTGACCCACATGTCAGGAGAGTCTTGCACTGTCCAGAAAGGCGTGGCGAGATATTTGCATTTTGAAATTTGCTCTGTTCCTTTGCCACATCAACAGAATGTGTTGTGATAGTGCAAGAATCTGAATGTGCCTGTTACCAACTCTATCAGACGAGTCTGTCTTTGCCGCGTGAAATTCCATCCCAATGTTCTGCAACATATTGTGGCACTCCAGGCAATGCTGTGAATCCACGACAATTTCCCAAGAGAAGTACTTTTGTCATTTTATGTTTTTTGAAGGAAGAGAAGGCGGAGGAGGAAAGTGTCATTGCCCCAGCTACTGTAGCACGTATTGCACGGTTGTCGGATACCGTGTCTCTTGTTGTGTCCTTCGATTCCTTGGGTAGTTAGAAAGGAATGAACATGAATCAATGTACATGGTCAAGAACATACACCTGTTGGAAGAAAGGATTTGGATGTTTGCTCAATGTTTACAGAAGTCACAAGTGTGTCTCTTTGCTGGCGGGGGCCACAGTTCTGCCAGTATTTCATTCTAAGGATGATGGTGCCCGTTCCAGAAAGGCAGTGGTTTTATTGCAGATGGATGGACTTGAAATCAGTGATCTGAGTGATATGAGGGGTGCATTGAAAAGGTTTTCTTGGCACAGGTTTCGTTGGCGCCTTCCATGTACCAAGAGGCCTTGAATCTTAATCAGTTGTCAGTTGTCCTACTGTATCGTTACGGGCAAGGGCTCTCACACTCTACACTCTGAGTCTGATACCTTGAGAGGCTTTGGATCCTGAAGATTATGAGACGCGCTCTGACATGGATGTGGCTCAGGATGCAGAGGCTTGCCTTTCTGTGAAAGAGTGAGTCGCTGATTGGTCTTGCTGTGGAAATCTGTGAACCGAGTTGTCACGCTTTGCGGCAGGCCGAAGAGACTGGGGAAGCAGACGTGGAGTCCTCAGTCAATCACAAGACGTGTGTTGTGTGCATTTCTGTGCATGATGCTGCTGCGACACATGC